CTGTAAAATTTCTGGTTTTTTGGTAATAAAGTTTTGCCGAAACGGCCTCGAGCGTGTGGGGGCGTGGCTTGGAATGAATGGGCGTCCATAAAAGGAAAAAGGGGCGGGGCTTGGGGTAAATGCGGAAGGGGCGGAGCTTCGGCTAAACGCCCATAAAAGAAAAGGGGGCGGGGCTTGCACAGAGGGGCGTGGTTTCGTTTCCCGCCGTTCGGTGCCGCCGCCATTTTGGCTGCTGGTGGGCGGGGCCTGGGGTGGGCGTGGCCTGGCCCCGCTATAAAAGGGGCGCTGTGGGAGCGCGGAGCCTCTTCGGGCGTGGAGCGGGTGAGAGGCGGGGGCGGTGCCGTGAGGGGAACTGTGGGGTCACGAGGGAAGATCGGCGGCCATGAGGGAGGATCGGAGGTGCTGGGGCGGGCCGGGGTTCTCGGGGCGTTTGGAAGAAGTGTTGGGGTGATTTTGGGTGTGTTTATGAGGGGAAACCGGGGGGCGCTGGGCCGGGGAGGTTGGGGCTGGTTGATTTGGGCTTCCCGGTGGCTTTGTGGGGGGACTGTCCCCAAGGTCAGGGCGCTGTCGCGGTGATGATGCCAAAGACTAGAGTCTCCGACCCCCCTGAGGACACCACAGGCCTGAGCGACGCCCCCAGACCCACCCGGGAACCCCCCGTGGGGGTCCCGCAGGCCTCGGTCTCACGGCCTTTCCTCCCGCAGGTGTTGCAGGTGCCGGTGGGCGGCGGGACCGCCGTGGCTCCGGTAAGATCGCCGTGACCCCTCGTGTCCCTCGGCACGGCGGCGGCGATGAGGAACCGGTTCAAAACCTCTGATCCGCCGTGAGGACACACTCGCAGCGCCCTGAGCCGCCGCCAGCGCCCCGGGACCCTCCCCGGGGACTCCCCCCTCCGACCCCATTCCCAGCACCGGGACCCCCAACCCCTCCCGGAGCGCCGCGTTTTTCTCCCGCTCTGACACCGCTTTCCTTTCGCAGACCCGGACGAGGCCTCGGCACCGACTGCGCCGCCGGACGGGGAGGGGAGGAGGAGAGGGGAGGGGAGGGCGCCGCGGGTTTGGGTGAAATAAAAGCGATTTTTGTGGCAGAAATGGCGCCGTGGTTTCTTTGGGGCCGCCAGGGGGCGCGCGGGGCCGGGGGCGGGGCCAGCGCGGCCGTCACGTGACTCGGGGCGGGCGCGGCGCGGGCGCCATCTTGGGTGAGTGTTTGGGGGGGGGGCGCTCGTAACGAGGGGGGCGCAGCGCGGGACCCTCCCCCCATCCCCCCCCCCCCCCTTTCGGGGGGGGTTCCAGCGGTTCGGGCTCGCCCCTCCCCCGCCCCGGGCTCGCCCCTCCCCCAGGGAAGCTCCCGGAGCCCCGGCCCGGGCGGACTCGGCGGCCGGAGGGACGCGAGACCCCCCCCCAAATTCCCCTTCCCCCCTTCCGGGCACTTCCGGGTCCCTCCAGGTGAGGTTTGGGGGGGTCGGGAGGGGCCGCGATCCCCGTGGGGATGGGGGAGGGGAAGTCCCCGGTACCCCCCGGTGACTTTGGGCGGGTCCCTGTCCCCCACACCCCCCCCCCGGCCCTCCCCCCACCTTCCGGGCACTTCCGGGTCCCTCCAGGTGAGGTTTGGGGGGGGGCTGGGCGGGGTCGGGATCCCCGTGGGGTCACGGGGGGGTGGGGTGGGAATCCCCGGTGTCCCCCTCCCCCGAGTGACTTTGTGTCCCCCCTCCCCTTTTCCCCGCTCTCTTGCAGCCCCCCCGATGTGCCCGTGGGCGCTGGACCCTCCGTGGGGCCGGGGTCCCCCCCCGGACCCCTCGCTGCCCCCGGAGCCGCTGGACATTTGCCTGGCCCTGGCCCGCCACGTTTTCGATCTGGGGGTTCGGGGGGCGCTGGGGGCGGCCCGGGCGGTGCTGGGGGCGCTGGGGCTGCGGGGCCGGGGGGGCGCGGGGGGCGCTTGGCTACAGGGGCTCGTGGCTTTCGCGGCGGTGGCCGCGGGGCTGCGGGCGCTGCTCTGGCACCTGGTGCCGCTGGCCGCGCTCTACGCGCTGCTGCAGGCGCTGGTGCTGCTCGCCAGCCTCCGGCAACCCTGGCCCGAGCCCCCCCGGGCACCCCCCGACGGACGGGAGCCCCCCACGGTTGGCCAGGAGGGACCCCCGGAGGGCGACGAGTGGTGGGACCCCCCCACGGAGCGCTGGGAGCCCCCCACGGACTGCTGGGAGCCCCCCGAGGGCAAGGAAATGGGGAGGGGGGCCATGGATGGAGCCCTCCCGAAATAGGGGGGACCCCACCTCGGTCTGGGGGGGGGGCCCGGGGGTCCCTCATGGACCACCAGGAACAACAGCGGACCCCCAGGGATCCCCTTTGGGCCACCAGGAACCCCCAGGGATCCCCTTTGGGCCACCAGGGATCCCCTTTGGGCCACCAGGGATCCCCCCCTGGGCCACCAGGAACCCCCTGGGGCCCCCACCACGGACCACCAGGAACACAAAGGACCAGCAGCAAACACTGACGGACCACCAGGAACAACAACTGACCCCCCGGGCCACCAGGAACCCCCTGGGATCCCCTTTGGGCCACCAGGAACCCCCTGGGCCCCCACCATTGACCACTAGAAACACTAATGGGCTACCAAGAGCACAGATGGACCACCAGGAACACTAATGGACCACCAGCAGGCCACACTGATGGACCACCAGGAACACCAAGTGACCCCCTGGGCCCCCACCGTGGACTGCTACAAACACTACTGGGCTACCAAGAACACTAATGGGCCACCAGGAACACTACTGGGCCACCAGGAGCACTAATGGGCCACCAGGAACACTAATGGAACACCAGCAGCCAACACTGATGGACGGTGAATAGGAAAAGACCCCCGGGAGCCCCCTGGGATCCCCCTGAACCACCAAAAACACTCCTGGGCCACCGGGAGCCCCCGGGCTCTGAGACCCCCAAACCGCCCCCTCCCCTCCCCCCTTTTAGGGCGGAGCCTGTGGAGGCCACGCCCACGCGGCGCCCGCTGTGACGTCACCCGCGCCCCGCCCCGCTGCCACACGCACACTGTGATTGACACCTCCCTCGGGCTCCGCGCTCGTGCCGCGGCCCCGCCGCTCGGCGCGGATTTTTGCGGTCAATAAACGCGATTTTGGGGCTCCGCCGGCGGTGTCGATTCTGTGGAGGGCGGGGCGGGGCGTGAGGGGGGAAGGCCCTGCCCTCACCAAAGATGGCGGCGCCCTCAAACAAAATGGCGGCGCCGCTAAGATGGCTGCGCGGAGCGTTGAGCGCGTGCGCCGCCCTCTGAGGGCCCATTCCTCACGCGGGGCTGCCTTTGGCGGGCGCCTGTCGCCGGTGCGGCGGTTCCGCGGCGTTTAACGGCTCCGGTGGCGGCGGGAGGGCCCCGGGGAGCGGCGCGGGGGTTGCCGGGGGCGGCGGCGGCGGCGCAGGCGCGCGGCGGGGCAGGCGCGGCGGGGCCCTCGCTGCCCGCGCAGGCGCAGAGCGGAGCAGGCGCTGGGCCGGAGCCGCC